TTTCACCAGAGAGGGGGAGAGGGCAAAGGTGTGATTCTAGGAGAAAGAAACACTGAAAGAATGTACAGGAAGTATTTAGGAAATGGTGAGAAGTAAGAGTAAGGTTGGGCTTTAACACTGGGCTTGTGGAAAAGGATGAACAAGAGGGAGGGGGAGAATGGTCCACTGGGACCAGTTGTAAAGCCTGGCCATAGCTCTGAGGGGTTGGGCTTTTTCCATAGTCTGTTGGATTTTTAAGTAGGGGAGAGACTTGGATTAAATGAAAATGGCCAGACCCCTGAGTATTTTTAGTGGGGGATGTTGGCTTTATTTCTCTGCCTTATGTTCTTGAGCTGTTTTGGAAGTTTTTGCAAATGTCCCGTTGGGTGGCATTTAGGTGGTGGTTTCTTTAAAGGACTTCGCTACACTTTAGTGAAGCGTTTTTTCAAAGGGAGCCCGTTTTTTGACATTCTGTTTTCTGTAACTGCTGTTGAGGAGAGGTAAAGCAAAGCCGGGCTCTTACGGAACACTTGCAACCCGAGACAAGCAGGTCTCTGTTTCGGTCACAGTTGTACAGTAAAGCCGTTCAGTCCTCAGAACCAGGACGATAACACGGTGCGCTTATTTAATAGTCTAATTGCTCTTCTGTTCTGTTCCGTCATTAAACGGTGTTAGAATTGAGAATTAGGACTCTCTTTCCTCGCCAAAAGAAAACACAAGTGGCTTGTTGACTGCAAGATTTACTCTCACAGATCCTTCCAGAGGAATATAAAATCCTGGCCGTGCCTCCACACAAGGAGGTGGCATATGCCCCGGCCTCGTCTCCTGAATGCAGGCTCCGTGCCCAGAAGGACATCATAAATCATTTAAAATTTATGATGAGCCCAGTCGGGTGTTACACCCTGTTAGTTGGCTGCCATCTGTCCTCTGCACACTATAGCCTTCCTTCTTCAGAGCACAGAGACTTTTTCAGATGAGCCGTAGGACAGAGAGCTCAGGATTTTCCCTTTGGCGGGCCCAGCCAAGAAGTAGAGGGGGCAGAAAACAGAAGACGCCTGTTCGTAGAGTCTTGCCACAGGCCTCGCTTGCTCTCTCCTAGGCTGGAGGTGGAGAAGGGGCAGAAAACAAGACCGTTAACATTATCAGCCTGTTTTCTCTTATTCGTTTATGCAGCAAATGCACATATTTTCTGAGTTCTAACAACCTGCAAGGCACTATTGGGAAAACGGCAGTAAACAAGAGTTTTGGTTCTCATCGAGACTATACTTAAAAAGTAGATGCCAGTTCAGGAGGGGATGCCGTATTTTGCAGGATAAGATGGATAAAGATGAGAAAAGGAACAAGCTATTCTACGTTGGGTGTGTGAGGAAGGGATTTCTAATAAGGTGACCTTTGAGCAGAGACTTGAAGGAAGTGATGGACTGAGCTGTGTGGGGGTCCGGGAAAAACCCATCCTGGTAAGGGCAGAGGCCACCAGGCAGGGGCTTGCCGTGTGTGTCAGGTGACAAGCAGCAGGGCTGGAGGGGCTGGAGCAGAGAGAGCCAGGAGGGAGCCATCAGGGAAAGACCCCACGGTGGGGAGCATCGTGTGGGGGGCAGCCTCTGGGGGTCATTGTGGAGACCATGCCAAGGAGTAGAGATAGTATTCAAAGCCAGATGGACAGCCACTGGATGCTTTTGGGAAAATCGGTCCTTTTCAAATATTTGAAAAGCCAGAGTATAAGCATGAGAGCAGGAAAATGGGGACACAGGGCGTCCCTCCCTTCTTAGAAAAATGTATGCTGTTGTAATCACAAGGGACTGTCGGAACTTTAACTCCCCCAGTCCAGGGAGCAAAACAGAAATCATGGGTTTGCTTGATCTTCATGTAAAAACCACACATGCCTTTTTTGATTGGGATAAAAGTGAGCCCCCATGAGCTATTTACTCAACTGGGAACAATTCTTCTCCTGGAGAGACCTGGCATCCGGTGATCTATGCCCCTGCTAAGTCTCTTCCCCAGCAGTACTTGCGAGGGAGGCAGACCCCCAACATTATTGCTGTTGTTGCACTGATTAGTGTGAACTTCAGGGTCAAAGAGCAGCTGGTTGGATCCTCGATATCAGATTCTAGGAGGCTTCAATAACCCGCTTTGCTCTCAGTGAACACAGAGCTAACTCACACTGTTTCCCCATCACAAATGACTTACTTTACTCTAGAGCTATAGGGACTGTGGGCTTGATTAACTGCCGAAGTCACAGGGAGTGTGGTTCTGACTCCTTATGAGGAATACTTTCCTAAGAATGAGGGTGACAGATATCTGGAGGAGGCCATCCTGCCTCTGAATGTTTTCAAGCAGGTGAGCACATCTCAGGAATGTTCCTGAAATGACTCTGGCTTTGTGCGGCCCTGTTGGACGAGAATGACCTCTCCAGTTCATTCCAGTGCAGAACACTTCCAAGCCTGTGAAAAAGTGTCCAGTGAATGTGCTCTGCAAACATACAGACACTATGTAAACATGAGGCAAATATTTTAAAAGATGAAGAGTGTGATACTTGTTCTTCTGGGAGAGTGGTGCTTGGAACTTGGTGCCCTAGCAACATACTTTCCATGCTCAGTCGCCTGCAGTTTGTTCTCATTGGCCCGCTACACAGTTATCTGCACTATGTGTTAAAAACCTGCTCAGCCAGAGACCAAACAAATCGCCAGGGCATTTTCCAATCAGGGCCCATTTATAAAAGGTAGAGCAAAGAACAAAGCTGTGGGGTTTGATTCCTGGCAGGAAGCCCAAGCTGCGTCCTCAGAGCTCCAGAATTTACAAGGAAGAAAGAGGAGGGATTTATTAACTGAGATTAAGTTAGATTTAAAGCGACAGAAAGCTTAAAACTAAAACTGAAGCATCCTCTGGGATCCATACTGGAAAGGCAGAAACAAAAACGAGATATGTTCTGGGCTCTCGGACGATTTTTTTTTTTAGTGCAAGAGTGAAAGCTTTTAAAGACGCCCAAAGCAGAGATTACAGAATGGCCTTGATTAATGATAGAGGATCACACACCATTGGAGCTGGGTGAGGTGTCCTTCAGCGACCATTGAATGCAGTGGTCAGGGTCCTTCTGAGCCACCTGCGCAGTGTTTGCAGCGCCCCTACTGTGTCGTTAGGGGTGTTGTTTGGCTCCCTGTGCTGACAGGAGTTCTCTTCTCTTTGACAAAAGCTTGGACAAATTGAAGCTATCCTGAAATAACAGCTCTCTTTTTACCTAAAAGAACAGCTCCAGCTGGCCCCCCACACCCAGTTAACTTTGTCCATTGAAATCACCAGCATTTAATGAGCTGTGGTTACTTGCTTCTGGAAGGAGGGTGGAGTGGGGCTGGGTGGCAATCTAAAGGAGGGGAAGGTTCTGTGTGTGTGTCCATTTGAACCAAGAAGGTGTTAATTATCATTCTTGTGACCATTTGTTCATCCACTCGTTCATTTATTCATTTTCTTGTTTGTTTCCATTCTGAGTCTGTCCACAAAATGTGTTTGGCAAAACTGAGAGCAAAGGGCACGTATGCTAGAAATTAAATACAAATGAAGTCAGGTCTCTAAGAAGGAGGAAACAGATTTCATCCATGAGTTGTCATATGAAATCTGTGTTAATATCAAGTGTTACTTTGACCTCTGGCAACCAGGATAAAAGGGAAATACACAATTACTGGTTGTCAGAAAAGAAAAGAAATATTTCAATTTCTTCCAGAGAAACTAAGTGTTGGTACTCTGGGGCTCATGCCATTGCTGAAGACTTTCAGGGGCTTCATACAAAGCTCTCAGCCCAAGGTACACCCCTTTCTCCCCCTCTCTGTCTTCAAAGTCCTTCCTTCAGACCACCTGGAGCACCCTCAAAAAACATGTCCTTAGTGTTATTACGAGCCCTGTCTATATGTGTCAGGGCAGGACTTGGGGTAATGGATCTTGAAATGATGTTGTTCATGTGGCTCTAGGATTTGCAAATTCTGAGACCAGAAAGAGGAATTGTGGGGAGAATCAGAGTCCAGTCCTGCTGTGGCTACCCAGTCTCCACCAATGTGCCTTTCCTTCTCCTTAAAGAGCCGTAGGCCCTTTCTGTGGCCTGGTTCTGCTGTGTCAAGGTGCTTTTTCGAACAGGTCATCTAGAGGGAAGAGAATTCTCCAGAACACACTTCGGACAGTGTTGGCTCAGAGGATTAGTAGATTAGGATTAGTAGATGATACTAATTTTACACACCATCTTGGCCCCTCAAAGTGGGGAGTCGAGTTAGACATGCACAGGTTTCAGAAAACCAATATTATATACACATAAGGTGAATACTGTCGAAGTCCCACCCTAAACTCCTGAGCTCCACTCTGAAGTTGTAGCAGGAATTTAAATTTTTCCAGAAGAGGGAAGAGGCATTGTTGAGATTCCCATCCCTTGAAGTGCCTTTGAAAGCGTGAATTGACCCCATCCTCCTGACTTGGGATTTGTCAAGGGATATACCGGAACATGCTTGAGTATGGCAAGGGAAAGAGTTACAGAGATCTGATGTGTTGGACTTTTGTGACAGATGGTGTGAGAGAGAAAACACTGGAAAAGTAGTGCCTTTTCTCTGGGATCCAGATGAGTTACCTGACTATCTACTGAACATTTGTCTGTCTGTTTGGTTTTAATGTAAACATACGTATCCTTTGTATACATTGCATATTCATTGAAGCCTGTGTTTTAGAATGCCTAAAAAAAGGAATATTTCGAAGTGAGAAGTAGCCTTTGTGCTCTATAGCTGATATGAAATAATGTGTCTGGTTTCTTGCGCAAACATCATCATTTGAAGAACCAGGTGCAGCAGCTGGGTTTCAGAGCACGGCTACAGTCCTTTGCCCTTGTCCTAATTATATTGACTCCAACCACGTATTTTGCTAGACAACGCAAAAAACTGGGCGTTGAGCCCTCAGGTGAACAGAATAAATATGCTCAATTCTACTTGGAATGTTTTTCATAATTATTTTAAGCAATGACGATTCTTACTTATGCTTATTCTTTTTAAAAGTATTAGAAAGGAAGATATCCACAAGACAAAGTAGAGAGGAGCTGATAAGAAGGGGCGTTCTTAAGGAGTTGCCTGATCAAGGTGAGGAAATTACTCATACATTTAAAGTAACGTGATCCTTTATTCTTTGGTCTTTCTTTCATTTTCTTTTAAAATTTAAGATGATCATGGTCTTTGGGAGATAAAGCAGTGAGTATGGCACTCTGAGAATCTTGCTTTAATTCAGAATACCTTTGTGGGCTGCAGAGAATCTAAGGTATTCTAGAAAAGAAATTCAGTGACCTTCACTGAATTCCGTCCTTCACTGTATGTCACTAACCCTAGAGCTCTACAGAGGTACTCAGCTGAAGATACAGATAAGATACAAATGTTTATATGATTCCTCATCTGTTCTTGAGCTTCAGTCTTTCTATACAAGTTAACTCAGTTGTTTGAGTAAATGCAATGTTGTTGCTTGGCTCCTGCCTTTTGGTTTCTTAAGCCTACCAGTAAAAGAAAAGGGAGAGAAAAGAAATAGTAAATGTATCTTTTGTTCTTGATACTCTGTAATACAATCAAATTTACAATCAATAAGGCACAAATGGACAAATTAAATTAATCCGCTTTATGCATTCTCTCAAGTAATTTTCCTAGTATTGTTCTCTTTTCATTTCTTTGAATCTAATTGTCTTTCACCTTTTCACTAACAATTATTATTTCTAAGTATTTTGTTTTCCCTGTCCCTAATCTTCTTCCCCTTTTTTCTCTATCCTAGCAAGAGGGAATCTTGCTCAAAAAGACTAGGCTTAAATAGAAACCAAGATAGACGCTCAGAAGAAGACATCAAGATTGGTTATTTCTCCAAATAAGTAACATCAAATAATTTTCATTGCTCCCCCTCCTCTTAAAACTATAGGAAATTTTTGTTGCAAAATTGTTGATTTACCTCATGCCTTCCCTTGCCCCACCCCCTGGACATTTACTGGGATAAAGTAGTATTATTGTACTTTTATGGGAACAAATAAAGTGCTATTAATTTGGAATTAAATCACAGAATTCACTATTTATAAATCCAAATGACACACTTTTTCCAACATCTGAATAATTCTAGAGTGGAGCTAGGAAATGCTTTACTATTTTACTGCTGTTTCAAAGAATATAGGGAAATCTAAAGTGAATAATGCCACTCTTCTTGAGCCCTCAAGATTTAGGCATTTTATTTCAATCTCTGACCGATTACATTTTTCTCATTCTGTTTTACGAATGAACTTTATGTCTTCTTTAATTTTCTGTTACCATGAAGCTATTTATTTCCTATCTGGGACTTTTAAAGATAAAAAAAAAAAAAAGCACATCCTTAACTTTTTGTTCCTGGAAGGCGGGCTTGCAGTATCAAAATTAGTCTCCCCTCTAATCTCTCTGGAGGCAGGCGAGAAATTACAGATCCACTGAGCAATCACCTTTCTGAGCTATCACCTTCCTGGGCTGGGCCAGCACAATTGTTTGATATCATTTATTTGGAAATTGTTTAAAGAAAGGAAAAATGTAAAAATTTATGATTGAAATTGCTAATGAGTATGAAAGATAGAGATTTAGAGACCCCTTTTTTACCTGATTAAAAATTATAGCTAGAAAAGAGTTTATTTTTTCTAAAAACAAGTGGCACTGGTCAACTTAAAGAAATGCTTAGTGTTGATTGGTTTTTGTTCTGCCTAATCTGTTAAACTATTTACTTGATGGGTTATAATTTCCGATACTTACTTCCCAGAATTCTGACTCTAGTTGACCTTTTGGTAACCTCCGCAGACTGAACATTAAAAGTTTTTAAAACATAAAAGAACGAAACAATTTTTCACCTAAACATAATGTAATATTTAATGTTTGGGAAGTCCTAAATTACTGAATTTTACTTTCTGCCTTTTTCATGGTCCCTATATGGAACTATAGAAACGACCTAATCCTTGAAAGTTCCTGGTGATGCCTATTGTAAATAGAGTCTTTCCCCTTTTCAGCCAAAAGCTGGAGAAAATAGTTTTCTGTCATTTCTCTAGAAACCATTATCTTGAGAATTTCGGTCTGTTTTCAGCTCTAGCCAGAGACTGGAAGCTGCTGTGCTTGGTGACCACCTCTTGTCTTCTGCCACTAAAGATTCATCCTTTGCCTTGATCTTCCTGACCTTGCCTTAGCTCTTGACAGTTATTGTCAATTATGTCCTTTATTCAGGGAGCCAGATAGACTTTTTCGATCCCTCCAGCTTCCCTGGGTTTGACCTCATCCCATCCCACCCCATACCCTCACTCCCAGCTTTTATTATTATTATTCCTTTTAGATGATCTTTTTTACACTAACCTCTAACTTCCATCTAAAAGTTCAACAATTGGTCTTCTCTCCTGAGAATTCCCAGGTCTAGTCCAAGGTCATTCCTTATTTTCTGGTTCTTTCCTTCCATCTTTTCCCTTAGCTTTAGCATGAGGGCATGGAGATGTTCCTGCCTGCCGTGCAGCCTCCTTTCTCTCTCTTCTGCGGTGTACTAGTTTTAACCTTCTGATGAGTCACTCACCGTTTGGTCACACACAACTTTCTCCTCATTTCTGTTTCTCTCTTAACTATATCCCAGATATACTCGTTTGGCCAGAAAGAGGGAAATCCCTCAGACACTCTCCTGCTCCTTGTTTCACCACTGATGTCTGTGTGTGCTTTATCTCTTGTTCACTTGAAGCTTACAGCCTTTCCTGAGCTGTCTTTTTCTGCTGCACACAAGGGCTCCTATTACTTATGACATCAGCATCTTCCCCTGCTCTCCTTTGCTGGCAGGTATGTGTGCATTTTACTTACATGCATAAACTATATGCACCCCCACTGGCTGACACACACATTGTGACACACAGAAATGCTCACATACATACATACACTCACATACTTAATCACTAACAAAACACATGTCCACTGTCATTCAAATATGCTTCTAAATTCACTTTTATACACAGACACAGATATATGGACATGCACACATTGACATATTTATTCTTTCACCAAAATATGCTCAACTAATTCAGTCATATGAAAGGGCTCATACTGTTTTATGAATGAACTTTATGTCTTCTTTAATTTTCTATTACCATGAAGCTATTTATTTCCTATCTGGGACTTTTAAAGATAAGAAAAAATTAACATCCCTAACTTTTTGTTCATGAAAGGCGGGCTTGCAGTATCAAAATTAGTCTCCCCTCTAATCTCTCTGGAGGCAGGCGAGAAATTACAGATCCACTGAGCAATCACCTTCCTGGGCCAGAAGGAAGGGCTCAACTTGTTTTAGCTCTACCATTATGCACAAAACTAGAAAACTTTTTCAGTGCACACACCAATTAATTATTAATAACTTCAGTTCTACTCTGTTTGATGTTTGAATTTGTATTTATCACGCATCAGTCTCTTTTTCCTACCTTATTTTCATAGGCACTAGCTTTATTTCAGACCTCGAAGTAAGTATCTTTCCACATTGTTGACTCTATTATGTGAAAATCCAATTTCTTATTGCACCACGACTATTTAATTTTCTCTCTAGCTTTTCTGTTCTAGATTTTAAAATCAATTATTTAACCTACTAAAGAACTTTAGCATAATAAGGGTTAAAATATAATTAAGTTTTTGCTAACATGACTTCAGCATATTTTTGTTATCAATTAAAGGCCGAGTAGTCAAAGATAAATTTATATTTGGGTTGCCTAAAAATTGAGGGTTTTTTTTATATAAAGAAGTGGTTTTCTATTTTGTTTGGAATTTTCCATTCTTACATTAGTTTTTAATTTCCCTGTGTCTAATATCTGGACATTACATTGTGTCTCCCCTCCCTTGTTTTTAATAGCGAATTCCTTGGTATCTAATAATAAGAATTAAGAATCATTTGGTTTCCCTTTGGTTTGACCTATACTGTTTAAAAAGTATTACCTTAATTTTATTGAAATAGTTAAGATTTATTTGCAGTAGCATTGCCCTCAATTATCATCTATTTTACTTGTATACAGGAATCAGATTATAGGTACTTGGAAGTTATATGGCTCAGCAGTGATTGCTTTTTCATTTTGAGCATGACAAAATTCCATGATATGTATTTTTCTTATTAAAATGTCATGCCTGTTTTTATGGACAAGGCTAATGGATTTTATGTTGAGCCAAAGCAGTTCAATCATATTTAATGAAAATTTGAGAGATGATCTCTGTTTTACTTATAATGATTTCCAAAATAAGATTAATCAAAGACTGCATAAAAAGAGCTCTAATCATGCATTTCTTGAACTTTGCAAAGTCAAAACTTCAACTCATTATTATTATTATTTTTTTTTTTACACTGGTAGCAAAGCCTCTTAAAATGTTCCAGATACGATCTAGGGTTAGTCTTTTCAAACATCACTGAATTAAGAGTTTATGCAAAAATCTCATTCACTTTAGAAACTTCTAGAAATTATGAAACTTCACGGATTAGATTTAGTTATTTCTGATTTAGATAATATATTAGAAATTTTATTTTCACTTGTGATTTTTTTAAAAGTTCCTCTGTAATTATTTTTTTTCACATTTTTTTCCCCTAGTGTTTTCAAATTATAATTAGGCCACATTAAAGGCTTTTGGTCTGTTATATTTAACAATTACCTGAGTGCATTTTAATATTTCCATCAATAAATAAGAAAATGAAAATAGAATTAGCCTCACTACCACCTTTCCCTGAATACAGAGTGGTAGTTATATTCATATGTAAAGTTAACATTATCACAGATGCAATCATGTGAGACAGAGATGGTTGTAAATTTTCATATTCTCCCTCTAATCATTTGTATATGTAATTACATTTCATGCTATTTGTGTATTTATATTCACCTTATGTTTTCAGTGCTTGTTAAAAATGTTTATTCCATTTTTCAGATTTCTCCTTTTACCGTTCAGTTTGTGAATGACAAAGAGACTCCTAAGTACTGACTTCAACAAAGCCTAAGTACAGAAGAGGAGGGCTCTGTTGCCCAGGCATGTTGTATAATTAGGATAATAATTCCCACTGTCGCGAAAGGGCAAGCAGATATCCCCTCCATTGCTGCTTTCCCCCAAGACTAAGGATTTTCTAGCTCTTTCTTTGGAATGAATTATTTAGTAAAACATGGTGAAATGATGCAGGATGTATTTGGTTCCCAGGGTCTGAAAACACGAACCCAAACCCTACAGTCCTAGTAACTGGAAAACTGGGTTTTAAGAAAGCCATCAAGTTAGACATCTAGGTGTTTCTTTCCCCATTATAGATGGAGATGTAACAGTTAACTTTGAAAATTCAAACGGGCACATGATACACATCGGAGAGGAATCTACCCGAGAGGAAAATGTAGTAAAATCTGAAGAAGGTAATGGCTCTGTAGCTGAAAAATCACCACCTCTGGAGGAAAAGGCAGAAGATAAGAAAGGTAAAATCAAGAGAATCTCCATATTCTTTTACTTCAATACAGCTCAACGTTGAGAATCAGGTCTTAGGCTCCAAATAGTGACTCTTAAGACCAGTTAGGGAGAAGGTTTGCAAATACAAAGAAGAGAGAAATTACAAGTGAAGAGAAATGGGATGGTTTTCTCAGGTAGATGCATACATTTTGTAAGCACGTCATTTAATTTTTTTACTTGAAAGCATTAATTAACAGTAATAAGCAGATCGCCTCTTCAATCATTAGAGCTATCTGGGAATATTATCCTTTCCTCAGGAGCTTTCCCTCACTATTTTCTCTTATTTTTAGAAAAAATGCCATCAGTCTGAATATCTTCTTCTATTAGTTAGAAGTGACCTTTGTGAGCATGTCAGTGTGGAGGGATGGAGGGGTATCAAAACCAAGATGGCTCTTTCCGCCCAGCATCATCTCTCCAATAGTGGGAACTTGCCTGGTGGCATCCATACACCCAATATTGTAGGTTCTAGTCCAGGTTCTAGACATTTCTGAGAGAGACCCAGGAATAGTTCCCAGAGATGCTGGGGACTTTGGTTGACCACAGCCTCAGCTTCATGATTTGTCTGTGCAATTGGAAATTTCAAAATACGCCAGGGGCAATTATGCCCTTCCCTGAAGGCTTCATAAAAGACCTTGGTTTCTAGAGTGAATATGCTATGGTCGATTAAGGTACCTGCAAAATCTGTGTCTATCAAGGACCCCTCAAAACATTTCACAAGTTCCTGGTCACTGACTGATTGATTGATTACCTCTCCCTAAGACTTCTATCATGTGCAGGAACTTCCAAGCCTTGTACTTATGCAAATCAGAACTGAAACCCCCACAAAGTAAGGATTTGTTGGGAGATTCTAGATGATTCCATGCAGCCTCGAAATGAATCCTCAGGAAGCAGACTCTTTCCTGTTCTGTAATGTCTGCCTCTGAGTTGGATGGCAAAAATTTGTCAGACCTAGCTTAAGTTCTATAGGCATTGTGAAAATTCTTAGAAACTAAGCAGACTTGTCTTCCTCTGTTCTTGACCCAAATCCTCTAAAGACAAAGAAAACAAAAGAGCACTTGACAGACATTGTAACTTAAAATCATCTTCTCTGGAAGTCCATAACCCCTTATTTGCATATAAATTAGCCTGTAAAAATTTCAGAAGCCTCTGTGAACAATCTGTTAGAAATTTATTATTTTGCTTTATTTTTTCAGTATTAAGTATAGTATTCATGAGGCTTTACTTAGTCTTGTTCTATTGAAGAACTCTGGTTAAACTTACAAATACTGATTATAAGAAATTAGCTAATATTTTTTAATGATCATATTCCTGGAACATAAAGAGAAAATAGACCTAAATAGATTCCAGTGGGATTAATTTGAAAGTATTCATGCAAGTAGTGGTTTTTTTTTTTTAAGTCCAACTATCCTGTCTCACCCAACTGTTAAATTTCAGATCCATCTGTGGTTTGTCCCTGGTACGGCCTTTTCACATTCAAGAATCACACCCTTCCTTACGTAATGGTGCCATCATTAATGCTTGCTTGGTCCATGTGGGATGTCCATCAGTGGTCTGGCCATGCTTCAAAGGAAGTGCTTCCCTTATCAACTTAATAAAAAGTTGCTGACAGTTCTATGTTAATGAAACCAGCAGGCCTTGATGTTCTAAAAGGATGGCAGACCTCGTAGTCCATGGATATTTGAGAGGTGTTTTTGTTTTCTTATTCTTTTTTTTTTTTTTAAGATTTTATTTATTTGACAGAGAGGGACATAGCGAGAGAGGGAACACAAGCAGGGGGAGTGGGAGAGGGAGACGCAGGCTTCCCGCGGAGCAGGGAGCCCGATGCGGGGCTCGATCCCAGGACCCTGGGACTATGACCTGAGCCGAAGGCAGACGCCCAACGACTGAGCCACCCAGGCGCCCCATGTTTTCTTATTCTTTACTTAGAATTAGTACATTCAGTTCTTTTTGGTCAAACAAGATCTAAGCATCTTGCTTGGCTGGTCTGGATATCAAGGGATGGAAATGCTGGACATGCTGCCACACCCCAATAAGGCAGCAAAGCTTCCCTCCTGCTGCGTGGATGATGCGCCTGCCCGAGCCACAGGGAAAGTGAGGGAAGGCATTTGGTATGGAAGCCACCTCCTGAGAGTCAAAAGAATGTCACTCATAACTCACACAGTACACAATGTTAAACATAAGATAACCACTTACTTCTTTGGGAAGACACCATTTAATTCCAAAAAACAGCCCAAGATTCACTTTTGCTTCTGCTCCTTTCATGGTTTTACTAGCATGCAAATCCACAATCCCATGTTCTTAATTCACCCTTTGGGTGTTCTTAATTCCCTTTCCGGGGGGTGAAATGCTCCCTTTCCTTTCACATTAAGCCAATTTATCCAAGAGTGTTATTTCATCTATTAATTGTTTATATTTGCAAAACCGTGCCACATGCCCTTAAGCCCCCAAATGCTTGTATGTCTTTGTAAGATAATATGTCAGTACTTTAATAATTGAAACATCGGTGTCAAAGAAAATAGAACAAATGGCAAATGCCCTTACACTGCATGGTGTGTAGGTTCCACCCACAACTCTTGGGTGTTCCTGGGGCTCTGGATGGCACTGGACTCCAGAGTTGGTACGGTGGTCTGGGACCTCCTCTGCCTAACACTGGAGACTCTTCCCTAAAACCTTCAGGGCTTTCAGTCTCCCATTATTCCTTCTCAGTGAGTGCCTTTAAATATATAAGAAAAACTGATCTTCAGTCTGTTATACATATATTGGTATTAAATATAAGAAATCTGAAAATAATTTGATACTCTGTCTGTTGAGGTGTTGTAGAGAGCTTTCCATGAAGTAACAAGGGACCTACATGCATTTGTTCCACAAATAATAATGAAGGTCTCCCATGGGTAGGGCTTTGCTGGGGCTAGGAGAAGAGTGGTGAGTCAGAAATGGTCTTTGACTCCAAGCAGATCGTGGCCTACGGGAGTGCAGCATGCAAACAGGCAATCGCCGAGCAAGATAGAAAGTACTCTGGAAGGCCTGAGCACATGGAACTAGGGGAGCTTGCAGTGGGGACCAAATTTCGTTCTTAGAAGCAGATATTTCCAAACTGAGATCTGAAGGAGACAAGGAGATAGTCAGGTGAAGGAGGGGAATTGGGGCAGAGGTGCTTTCTTGGCAAAGCGAGGGTCACGCGCTGTTCTCAGGTTTGTTCTAAAAGTGTTGACCTGATGGAAGGAGCCATAGTATAATAAACAGCTATCCTCCAGACATATTGTTTTTTTTTTTT